AATGAGGTTTTTTTTTTTTTGCTTCTGTAATTAATGATCTCACAGATTTGAAATTACTGCTACTATCATGTTTTGTATTTTATATTTTTCATGCTATCGTGTTTCTCATTTCCTTTGATTTGTTAAATTGAACATGTTCTTCTCTCTCTCTATTTTTTCTTTGCTGTTTTGGAAGTTGCACATATATCTCCCTCCCTACATATTTTTAGTGGTTGAACAACCACTAAAAATAGGTTGTTCATAGACACACTGAACTTTTTCCTTTAAATCAAAATCTAAAGTTGTTTTTTTTTTTCTCTTTTCCCAAATGAAATAAGGTTTTTTTTTTTTTTTTCCTAAGTTGAAGTCTTGTCACCCAGGCTGGAGTGCAGTGACACCCTCACGGCCACTGCAGCCTCTACCTGCTGGGCTCAAGTAATCATCTCATCTCCACCTCCCAAAGTGCTGGGATTATAGGCATGAACCACTGCACCCAGCTGAAAGAAGGTTCTTTATACACTTTTGTTATTCTCATCTTTTCATCATCTGTTATTCTCATCTGTTTGCATCACACTGGTACCTAAATAGTAGCTGATATAATTTTAGTTCAAGGCATGAGGAAACATTTAAAATGTGTTTGAATCAGTATTTAGATTCATCAGTTTGTTTTACTGATTTCAGGGCTCATTATTGTATCCAGCTTCTGTGTGTTTTTTGTTTTTTTTAATGTGTGTTTCTCTAGAATGTAAATTTTCTAAGCGCTTGTATATTTGAAAATGTCTTTTATTTTTCCTTTTTCTTGCCTTTTGGTATAAGAATTCAGAGTCAATTTTTTATCTTTTCTCTATACTTTATCTCTTTCACTTTCAGGAAGGGTTCTGTTCTTTTTTCTTTTTGTAACTGATCTTGCCTTTCAGTTGATAGGTTTTTCTGATATAAACGTCATATTTGTCTTCAGTTCTGAAATAATTTCAGCCTGTAGTTCTTCAAAACTGCCCTATTATCTTTCTTTTTTTTTTTTTGAGTTGGAGTCGCTGTTGCCTAGGCTGGAGTGCAGTGACACACTCAGGGCCACCCCAGCATCAACCCACTGGGTTCCAGCAATCCTTTCGCCTCAGCCTTCCAAGTAGCCAAAACTACAGGGGCGCACTACCACGCCCAGCTAATTTTTTATTTATTGGATGTGGGGAGCAGATGAGATGTGGGGAGCGAATGAGTGCTGTCCAAACAGCAGGCCTTGAGCAAAGGCAAGGCTCCAAGTGGAGGCAGAGCACTTGGTTGCTCTGCGTCCTAGCCAAAGAGCAAGGGATGCAGTCTGCTATACAGAATGGCGTCTCAGAGCCCACACATGCGGGTGCAGATGGTACAGATAAAACCTTAGCCACAATAAGATAACCGCGAAACAGCTTGCCATTTAGGTAGCAACAAAATTCCGTTATAACTCCCTCACAGACCTTGAATCCCTTCCAACTTCCTTTGTGCTTGATTATAAAATAAACATGCAGCTGGGCTCGGGGGCGCAGCCTGTCATCCCGCGCCTTTGGGAGGCTGAGGTGAGTGGAATGCCTGAGCCCGCAGGTTCGAGACCCGCCTGGGCAGGCGAGACCTCATCTCTA